GGGAGCGAACCGTGGTAAACTTTTGGTATGTTGTTCAATAGGACCTACTGAAGAAGTTTACGTAGGAAAAGTTTGTTAAGCAATTTGTTCCGGGTTAATCCTCTTTTTTTCGGATTTCTCCACTTGACTAACCCCCCAAAAACCCAAAAGTCGTGGATTTAAGGATATGAATTTTGGGCAATATGCACGAATAGCTATCTACTGGCACTTGATTGGCTCAAAATGTATAGGATATGCATTTACGAACTACAAAAACAGCCTAACTTGACTTTTTCAGCGCCTTGACCCGAAATTCCCGCCAAAAAAGCGAAAAATCGCATTTTCTCAAAAACGGCCCCATCACAGATTTCGCGGTTTGTTGTTCCTCAATCAGTAGGCCTTCTAGTTGACATTTCCGCAAAAAAATCGCGGGTGGTATGTTGACCGCATTAAAATTGTTTAAAACGCACCGTGGGGGTTGATATGTGCGAGTTAATATCACGCCTTATCAACACATTGTGTTGGAGTTCACCGCTTGTTTTGTAATTCATCCCAATTTTTTCTCCGTTATATAATTGAATTGCTTGTCAAATTCTGAGGTCAATTATATTTAATTGTAATTGATACATTTCTTTCTTCCCTTTATTTCATTCTTCGTATGGAGAATGTTCGTTGATTTCTTCGAATTTCGAATACTGTAACTTCTCCTCTATTCGGCCGATTTTTATGAATGAGACCTCTTTCAATTCGTCTTTTAACGGAGAGTAAGGAAAAAATTGCTAAGTACACGCGAAACAATTTTTTTGAAAATTGGACGAATCCTAGCGTGACGGTGATATGGTTAATTGAGCGTAAATAATAGGGCTCGGGTCCAAGTCGGGTCGCTCGGGAGAGAGGTCTGGTGTGCGGGGAGGAGAAGGGTAAAAGGATTTCTGTAAAAGCAAATTGATTTCTGTATGTGTTATGGTTAGCACATAGTCTAATGAGTTTTGAGGCTCATCACAGAATGCACTTACGGGTGTCCTTACACGGTCCTGGCTATCAGGGCAGTTGTACCAAATTTTGAAAAGCATAACAGGGGTGTAGATATCTGTCAATGCAACGTTTCAAACAAAACGGAGGAGTAAAATTCTCATTCGAAGAGTGCTGAACTGCTTAGCAATCCTCGAATCAGTTCGTTTGCTTCTGCTTCTTTATGCATATTTTAAATCAGCGCAGCGCATTCTTAGGTTGTTTTTAAACAAAACCAATTAACGTAGACTCTTGGTATTCATTGCTCATAAACTAGAAAGCCCCAGAATGAGAAAGAACTTTAAATCATAATTATTGACGGATAAGTAAACTTTTTACCTGCTTTGGAAAATCTCAGAAGTTCGCGGTGGTCACTTTCCGGTAAGGAACTAAGGGACTCGGTTATTGTATCGAAGGGGGGGTCGAAACGATCGCAAAGGCGGTATACTACGTATACGCGCCAAAAAGGGTGAGAATTTTGATTTCCTTCCGATGAGAACATGACTCGAACGTCAACTTGTATTGCGACTCTTACATACAGGGTGACCCAAAAGTCTT